TTAATGATTCAGACAAGGAAAGAAATTCCTTATACTAAGTAACCTTACACTTAATTCAGGAGAAACGGTGTCTCCAAGTTTAAATTCTGCTCAGCTCTTCACAAAGATATACTCATCCAAAGTAGCAGCCATTTCACATCAGCTACATTAAAAATAAGTGTTTCGTAAAGATAAAATCTCAATGAAATACCCATTTTGACTGAGTACAGCAGTGACATTGGTTCCTGGTGCTTTAGCATCAGGAGCTGAATAGGTCCCACCAGAGGTAGATGGCCACACCCGCGAGAGGCAGGTTCAGTTAAGTAGAGACCACCTAGGTCAACGGTCCCCCAAACAGTGACAGTGATGCTTTAAGGTATTTAGGGATAACCTGTTCTTTTCACTTCTGGTTCACACAACTTAGTTCTTTCTAACAAAATAATCGAGATATTGCCTGACAGTTAGGATGGACTATGGTGTGAAAATCATGTTATGAAGCCACCTCGGTTATATTTGGTAATATTTGTGTTCATGTGAACTGCCGAGGCATTATTTTTTTGTTCAAAGATCAATTCTAAAACAACATTCTAAAAGTAGAGATATCTCCATGGCAACCAAAGGCCTCTGTCTACTAATTGGACCGCTTTTAGATCCTCAACCCCAGAATCATTATTTTAAGAACTCCTTAACGTCTTTTTATGTTGTTAATAATGTAATAAAAGCTGGATATTCTATTTGTCTCAAATTTTCTGGTGCAGATTATATTTTCTCCTTCCTGATATTGCCCATTGAGTTCCAAAATCCTCATTACTGGCCCAAGAAAGCATTTTAGATTTTATCCCAAATTCTATTTAAAATTGACATGTTTCTATATTTCATGAGGTGTACTGTGCTTCTCCAGGCAAGAAAGGGTAACACTGCAAAAAGACATTTTAAAACTGTCAAACCATAACCATTTTAGAATGTGTGTGTGCCGCAGAGAGAGTGCAATATATTCTCGAAGACATTAAATGTATTATGCACAGTTCCTATATTATTATTTTATACGGAGAAAAATCAGTTTGAGACTTTTCTGTGACTGATTATTGCTATGTAATGATAATTCAGACAAACGGCTGGATCAAAAATAGCACTCTTAGTACATCTGCCTCTCTACTGCATGATTCATAAAGGAATCTACAGCTCCATAATATGTATTCTCTGACGGTTTCATTACATAGATTCAAACTGGCACTGTCATCATCTTTGTTGTAATCAGAGAACAAATCCAGCATTGGAATATAATTGTAGACTTCTTTTATAAGCAGGCGCAAAATTCCCTTGAAGTCATAATCTGTATTGTCTGTCAAATCTTTTCAAAGCTTGTTGATCCGAGCTACAGGCATGTGTGCCACACTTTAAATAAAATAAAAGTTATGTTAAAGGGATTTGTGAAAGCTTTTCATACTTTGTAAGGCAATGAAAACAATACTGAATTTAGACAATTTATAGCGGTTTATTCATTAAATACGATTCGGAGCAGGTACAGTTTGAATGGATGAGCTAAATACAAATGGAGTGATAACTTTGAATATATTTTCTTTGGGTCGTATCAAAGTTTTATCCCTCTGGATTTACCAGAAGCTTTCTGTATTGTGACATGCTTTGGAAGAAAAATAAATAAATAGAAACAAGGTGAACTATTTTGAGAAATTTACCAAAATGGTCAAATGTTGGCCATAGGGCCAGCCCGTGCATGGGTCCTGATGGGGCTATGGACCCAGGTGGCACTTTGACCGCGCATGTTAACTAGACTGTGACAAACTCCCCTCTCTAAGTGAGTTTGCCACGAGCTCCTGGAGGAGCCTGCTTTCCAGCCTCCTGCCCACAGACTATGGGCCCTGCAGGGAAACCTGTAAAAGACTACCAAACTTGACCGACCGTTAGCCCTGATTTCATGGAACTGTTTTGGGCATAGGACCATGTGTACGGTCAGTCAAAATTATGACTTCCAGGAAATTCCTGAACCCCTAAACTGATCTGGGTGATTTTTGGATATGTTGGTGACCCAGTTCAGGTCTATCAGGGGATGTAACATGTGGAGATATCATGTGTTTGGGGTAGTTTTGGGACTTTTTAGAAATGTATGTTTTTTCTGTTCTTGGAGATAATTTGATTAGAATTAGTACAGTTACTGATCCAATTATCTCCCAAGCAGAGGGGAGGGATTGTGTGCTGTGTGTGGGAGTGCCTTACATTTTAAATGTGTTATTATTGGTTTGTAAATTTGTGTCCCTGTCCCCAACAAGGTCCATGTGGGCGTACCCCTTGCATGAGGATTGTCATATAAGGCCAAGTGTGGCTCCATTAAAATCTATACCAGCTTACACTCTAAAACTGTGTATCGTCCTGTTATTGGAGGGAAAGAAGATTTACTCCTGTGTCTGCTGTTCCAGCTTGCAGGGGATTCAACAGGGAAAGTCCTTTAAAGGACTAGAGCTAATTCCCCATTCGGCTCCAGGAAGGAGCAGTTCCAGGGCCCCAGTCAAGCCACGGCAACTGTGGGCAGAAGTGCTGCTGTTTGTCCCCTGTTCCAGCTAGGAAGCGGTTCTTGGCAGAGGTACCCAGTCAGGGTACAGGGATCTCCGCTACATAGACCACAGCTAGGGTGTATCTGCTTGTCTGCAGACCGCAGAGGTGGCTTTCTAATTAGGTGAGTTCGGCAGCCCCCGAAAGCCTTGCACTCATTAGGGCTTTGAAGTTACATAACTCACTTTAGGGCAGACTGATCTGTCGAGTCCTTGGTCCATGACTGGGAGGTATGAAGAATTGCAGACCATGTGGTAGAGATCACGCTACATGGTCTGTCTAAACCCAGAGGAGCTGCAAACCAGATAACAAGGCCACCACATATTTTATTTATTTTTATTTTTTTTATAAACCCATATATTCCATACTTATTAACCCTTAATAGGGAACACATGGGGTGTGTGGCAGTATTGTAACATGGCCGTAACATGATACAAAGTGAATACAGATACAAAAAAATGGTTTCTTCGCTCAAACTCCCACTACTCCTGGGCGACCCTAGCAGACAGCCCAATGTATTCCCTATTATGGGTTAATAAGTATGTAGGGGTTTAGAAAAATACCCTCTCTGTCTCATTAGAGATTTGTTTGCCTGAAGCTGAAAGCAGTAAGGTGAATTGTTAGTGTAGGACCCACCTAAGAGGTTTGCCTTGACGTGGCAGGTGGGCTTGCATCTAATGGCCATTGGAGTTATTAAATAACCTCTATTTATTTACATATGCATAGGGATTAGGGCTAGAGTGCAGGTAACTTTTTTTGTTTTTGTTTTTTATAATAGGAAATATTTGATTGCACTGTAGCATTTAAGTCAATGGGAGATAAGAGTTGACAATTCTATTTCAGTATAAAATTCAAAAATGGGAGTAGTGTAAGCAAACCCTAATAAAATGGAGGTCCTTTTTCCTCACTTGGACCGAAAGAATAGTAGCTATTAAAATGTCCATACTCCCGAGACTACAATATGTCTTTCGGAACCTCCCGTTATCGATGTGGGACAAGGGGAGCCTCCGAGTATCTATGAAACTCTTGAGAGCACCGGCTAGGGCAGGAGGACTGGCAGTCCCCGATATTCGCACTTACTACCATGCATCTATATTGGCGGCTGGCATATCACATTTCTCTAACCATAATCCTCCCCAGTGGGTCCGAATTGAACAGCATATGATGTCACCATATGACATCACTCATACGCTATGGCTCCCTAAACAGTTCAGACCCCCTTTAAAAGCAGTCCCTGCCCAAATAGCTTTGTTAATACAAATCGGGGATATACACAGACATAAGTTAAGCAGATATCTAATTTCCCCCGCCACCCCCACAGAGGCTCTTATGTATTGTATACATACCTTCTATTCTAAGCCATGGCAGGAGAGGGGTCTTACACATTTAATTTATTTTTATTCTAATTCAAGGCTACAGGATTTTCAAACCCTTCAATCACTCTTTGATATCCCATTGACCTCTCAATTCTCCTACAGACAACTACATTTCTTTTTACAGAAACAAAATATTCAGCTTCTTTCTCGCTGTATTATTAGTGAACTACTTACGATATTGGAAAAATTGTGTATTTACAAAAAAACACCTGCATTATGTAAACCAATCTCCACATATTACCAATTATTATTAGATCATACACCACTTTCAGACGCTACACCAGGGAAACAATGGGCAAATGATTTGGCTTTGGAGCTCACCCAGGAACAATGGACTAATATATCCATAAATATCAAGAAACTTATTAAATCAGCTTCGCTTATTGAACAAAACAAAAAAATGATTTATAGGTGATATATGGTCCCAGAGCGGATACACAAAAAGTTTCCTTCCATTTCACCCACCTGTTGGAGAGGTCAAAATAATATTGGATCAGTTATACATATATGGTGGAACTGCCCACACCTTCAACCGTTTTGGGAGGAGGTACATACATTGTTACAAGATCTTACAAAAGTTAAATTACCATATTATTATTATTATTATTATTTTATTATTTATATAGCGCCATCAGATTCCGTTTCTGTACAAAGGGTGGACTAACAGACATTTAATTGTAACTAGACAACTCGACGTACAGGAACAGATAGGTGGAGGGCCCTGCTCAGTGAGTTTACATGCTAGAGGGAGTGGGGTATAGTGACACAGTAACAGAGGGATCGAGGGCCCTGCTCAGTGAGTTTACATGTTAGAGGTAGTGGGGTATAGTGACACAGTAACAGAGGGATTGATGGCCCTGCTCAGTGAGTTTACATGTTAGAGGGAGTGGGGTATAGTGACACAGTAACAGAGGGATTGAGGGCCCTGCTCAGTGAGTTTACATGTTAGAGGGAGTGGGGTATAGTGACACAGTAACAGAGGGATTGAGGGCCTGCTCAGTGAGTTTACATGCTATAGGGAGTGGGGTATAGTGACACAGTAATAGAGGGATTGAGGGCCTGCTCAGTGAGTTTACATGTTAGAGGGAGTGGGGTATAGTGACACAGTAACAGAGGGATGGAGGGCCTGCTCAGTGAGTTTACATGCTAGAGGGAGTGGGGTATAGTGACACAGTAACAGAGGGATTGAGGGCCTGCTCAGTGAGGTTACATGTTAGAGGGAGTGGGGTATAGTGACACAGTAACGGAGGGATTGAGGGCCCTGCTCAGTGAGTTTACATGTTAGAGGGAGTGGGGTATAGTGACACAGTAACAGAGGGATTGAGGGCCCTGCTCAGTTAGTTTACATGTTAGAGGGAGTGGGGTATAGTGACACAGTAACAGAGGGATCGAGGGCCCTGCTCAGTGAGTTTACATGTTAGAGGGAGTGGGTTATAGTGACACAGTAACAGAGGGATTGAAGCCCTGCTCAGTGAGTTTACATGCTAGAGGGAGTGGGGTATAGTGACACAGTAACAGAGGGATTGAGGGCCTGCTCAGTGAGCTTACATGTTAGAGGGAGTGGGTATAGTGGCACAGTAACAGAGGGATTGAGGGCCCTGCTCAGTGAGTTTACATGTTAGAGGGAGTGGGGTATTGTGACACAGTAACAGAGGGATTGAGGGCCCTGCTCAGTGAGTTTACATGCTAGAGGGAGTGGGGTATAGTGACACAGTAACAGAGGGATTGAGGCCCTGCTCAGTGAGTTTACATGCTAGAGGGAGTGGGGTATAGTGACACAGTAACAGAGGGATTGAGAGCCCTGCTCAATGAGTTTACATGCTAGAGGGAGTGGGTTATAGTGACACAGTAACAGAGGGATTGAGGGCCCTGCTCAATGAGCTTACATGCTAGAGGGAGTGGGGTATAGTGACACAGTAACAGAAGGATTGAGGGCCCTGCTCAGTGAGTTTACATGTTAGAGGGAGTGGGGTATAGTGACACAGTAACAGAGGGATTGAAGCCCTGCTCAGTGAGTTTACATGCTAGAGGGAGTGGGGTTTTGTGACACAGTAACAGAGGGATCGAGGGCCCTGCTCAGTGAGTTTACATGTTAGAGGGAGTGGGGTATAGTGACACAGTAACAGAGGGATCGAAGGCCTGCTCAGTGAGTTTACATGCTAGAGGGAGTGGGGTATAGTGACACAGTAACAGAGGGATTGAGGACCCTGCTCAGTGAGTTTACATGCTAGAGGGAGTGGGGTATAGTGACACAGTAACAGAGGGATTGAGGACCCTGCTCAGTGAGTTTACATGTTAGAGGGAGTGGGGTATAGTGACACAGTAACAGAGGGATTGAGGGCCCTGCTCAGTGAGTTTACATGTTAGAGGGAGTGGGGTATAGTGACACAGTAACAGAGGGATCGAGGGCCCTGCTCAGTGAGTTTACATGCTAGAGGGAGTGGGGTATAGTGACACAAAGGGTAAAAGTAGGGGTATGAAGTAGGTTATTAGAAAAATATAAGCTGAGGGCTTAGTAGGTAATTTTCGACAGTTGCAGGAGAGGAGTCATGGAGGGTGGAGGATAAAAACCTGCCAACAGTTTAATGGATATGCTTTCTTGAAGAATATGACCCCCTCATGTTTTTGCTATTGCATTCCCCCCCCCCCCTCCACCCCCCACATACTCCCAAATACCTCCAAAAACTAATTTTACATACGGCACTGACGACTCAACGCCTTATTGCACGAGCCTGGAAGACTTCAAACATTCCTAAAATCCAGAAAGTATATTCTGAGACGGATGAGCAGAGGCTTTATGAATGCTGCTTTACTAACATATACTATCCTACTCAAAGTGCTATAGCAGCATGGGATACTTGGGACAAGTGGAGATTGGTAAACCCTATATAGCGTGAAGCAATAATGTATCACAAAGTTCATATCACACTGTCTTAATACATGATGATTTCAGAGTATGTTAATATTAACTAAGTCTCATTCAAAGAAAAGATTTAGTTATATAGGAATATGTGACTCAAGTGTTTATGAGGATATACTAAGGTATTGTGCATTACTATGGTCAACTATGTTTTTATGTCTCTTCTAATTGATGGACGGCACTTGGATGTTACCTCCCCTCCACACACATACACACACACACACTTTTGCCTTCTGTATCCCTCCCATCCTTATGTTTTCTACAAACGGAATAAAAATTGTCAAATTTAAAAAAAAAAAAAATGGTAGTAGAAAAGGGAAAGTTTAGATACAGCAATGGAGATAAGGGAAGTAGAATGTCGTCCAATATAAACAGCTCATATATATTCATAGATTTTTTAAAAAAGATTTCACATTACACTTATTAGTTCAGTCTATATAAACTAAAATGTTGGAAATTAAAAGCTTTGGACAGTATACAGTGCCCTTTATCTTGCAATATATAACACAGGGTCTGAAATGTTAGTATGGAACCAAAAACACTTGTCTCACATTCAGTAGCATACCAGTGAAGTGTCCCAATTTAGGAGGGTCAGTCTCTATTTTATTCCCAAATCCATATATCCCTATTTCCTATCCTAACAGCCCTGTTTTCAAAGAGCTCCATATTGTTGGTGTGTCTGAGTGTGTCCCAGTGTGTCTTTAAAATACAATAAATGTGTTTAGAAATCAGTCTGTGTAAATAAGATACATTGTTTTTGTCCTAAGTTCCATTTTAATTGCATACATTTTATATCAGTAAGCCACCTAAACTCTAATAACAGCCCTGCATCTAGCCACACTCCTACTCATAAGCCTAAAATCAAAGTGTTCCTCTTTGACCATTTGAAATGGTGTGAGGTGTGCAGTAGATGTGACAAAAATATCTACATTAAAATGGTCAAAACATTGCCTGTAGATCATTTTTAGGAGACTGACGTCATTACTAACTGCACATATACAGTAAGTACAGTTAAATCATATTTTTAAAATTAAGTTATTTAAAACGCCTATATAAATCTTTATCAATCTCTGGAATGCTAATGTAAAGCTACGAGTGTAATGGTAGAGTCCATTCTGTCCTGCTCCCTACCTGACTGTAAGAATAATATCACCCATTGAAACTTTCTGTACTGTTTGAAAGAAGGGGGTCAGCTGACATTTCCAACAAATTTACATGAATTATATAGTGACTCAGAAAACGTTGTTCCTCTACAGGCTGGTGATCATAACTAGAGTATGAGTGAGTATGAATGAGGCTTTACAGACTAGATTTCATTCTGCAAAAATACCATGAAAATTAAAAAAAAAGATTATAGTTGATTTAGGTAGTGAAGTAATTAAATATAAAAAAAAAAAAACAAGTAAATAAAACACTTGGTAGAAGAACACTAAACTTTTCAAACCAGATTTGAGAAATATTTGTAAGTTAGCGTTCATTTCAGCTTATTTATGGTTCACACAATCAGTATATAGGCTTTTTCTCTTTTTGAAGAGCACATCACTTACATTTTAATTATGTGAAAACTAAAATGAACATGTACATAACTTGACATCTTGGCAATTGGTGTGTTATAAGAGTACTTGTAACTTGTTATTCTTTATGACCCAAGTCAGTGTGGCCATTTCAGTACTACAAAAGGTTGGGGTTTATTGCTGCTATACTGAAAAATATCACCTTATTTTGCTACTGAAAGTGTCTCTATTTATTCAATTTATTCTGTTTAAAGGGACTCTCCAGTGCCAGGAAAACAAACCCGTTTTCCTGGCACTGCAGGCTCCTCCAGTGCCCCCCTCCCTCCTGCCCCCCCCCCCACCCCACGTTGCTGAATGGAGTTAAAACCCTTTCAGCCACTTACCTGAATCCAGCACCGATGTCCTTTGCATTACACTTACAATAATTACACTTGCAGGGTTAAGGGTGATGGGAGTTGGCACCCAGGTCATTCCAATGGGCAGACGTGGTCTGGGTGCCTGGAGTGTCCCTTTAAAGGAACACTTTAGTGTTAGGAATACAGAGTTGAATTTACTCACCTGATTCCAGCATCAAAGTCCCTCGGCACTGGCTCCCCCTCCACCTCCTGCGTCAGGGGGAAACCTAACGTGCATGTGCAGTGAGCACTTCACGCATCTTAGGCCTTTCCCATAGGAAAGCATTGAACCACTGCTTTCCTATGGGGGATTTGAAGATGCTGGAGGGGCTGTCTGGTACACAGCCACTAAAGGCAGTCTTAACATTGCAGTTTCCCCAAAAAGTTGCATGTTAGATCTATTGCTTTTATGGCTATATGTGATGTGAACACTCACTAATCCAACTATTTTCACAGTAGTGAATGAGGATGTAGGGATTCACTAAGATAAGCAGAGAAGGGTTAAATCCCTGTTAACACACACAATTATTAATATTATTATTAGTATCATCGCCATTTATATAGCGCCAACAGATTCTGCAGTGCTTTACAATATTATGAGGGAGGATTTAACTATAAATAGGACAATTACAAGAAAACTTACAGGAACGAAAGGTTGAAGAGGACCCTGCTCAAACAAGCTTACAGTCTATAGGAGGTGGGGTATAAAACACATTAGGACAGGAAAGAACAATCAAATAAGGTGGGAGTGAAGCAGAGAGTAAAATGCTGCCCTTTAGGAGAGCGCAAGAAACAGGTATGTGAGGTAGAGGTTATTCTCAGAGGCCATGAGCTTTCCTAAAGAGATGGGTTTTAAGGCAATTCTTAAACGATTGAAGACTAGAGGAGAGTCTGATGGCGGTAGGCAGGCTTTTCCATAGGAAGGGAGCTGCCCGTGAGAAGTCCTGCAAGCGTGACTTTGCCATAGTGGTGCAAGCACCGGACAGGAGAATTTGAAGAAGGGGAGAACAATCAACGGTGTCAAAGACAGCAGAGAGGTCAAGAAGAATTAGTATGGAGTAGTGGCCTTTGGATTTAGCTGCGATTAGGTCGTTAGTAACTTTGATAAGCGCAGTCTCAGTAGAGTGGAGAGGGCGGAAGCCAGATTGAAGAGGGACAAAAAGAGAGTTGGAATTGAGGAAGTGAGACATACGGGTAAAGACAAGTCTTTCCAGAAGCTTTGAAGAGAAAAGGAGCAGGGATATGGGACGATAGAGGGGGAGGATGGGTCAAGAAATGGTTTATTCTTGGATAGGTACTACAGTGGCATGTTTAAGGGCAGCAGGGACAACGCCAGAAGAGAGCAGTTGAAGATGTGTGTTAAGGAAGGCACAAGACAGGGGGAGAGAGATCTGAAAGTTTTTTTTGCATTTTTCACACACAAACAAATATTAACGCTAATAACTTTGGCCAGTGTTTGTCACTAAGTGGCTACTAAAAAAGACTGGACATATCCCATTTACAATACCTTGGGTTGTTTAGTTTACTATTGCAAATGGTATGCCATCATGGGGTTAATTCTCATTCCTGGGCTACCATACGGACTCAAAGGCAACATAACCAATCTGGAGAATTTCAATGTGGGAAAAAACTGAAAAATTTAACATGCTACATTTGACCCTGTAACTTCCCAAAACACCATAAAACTTGTACATAGTGGGTACTGTTTTACACGTGAGACATCGCTGAATACAAATATGTGTATTTTATTGCAGTAAAAGCAAACAGTATTATAACATTCACAATTAAAATGTCATACAGAACTAAAAAAAATAATAAAGTTTCTTAATATCTCACATGTTTTTACATTTTATTCATATTAAATTATGTTTCATAGGTAAATATTTCAGGTTAAATGAAAGCCCTATTTCTCCTGAAACAAAATGATATAATATGTGGGGGTGCACTTAACATGAAAGAGGTGAATTACGGTTGAACAGGCATATAGTCAAATTCTAGATTATGCTAGCTTTAGTGTACCTATAATCTTAATTTTATAACATGACAGGAGGCGAGAATTTGCTTTAGTCTCTCTTTACTAGAACTCCACAGCATCACAGAAAAACAACCAATCAGAAAAAAGTTAGGTACTATAAAGCGCCCCTTCCCATGCATCATTTCCTCTTTCAAGCTGCGACAAGACAGAAACAAAATACAGAAAATATAATGGGGAAGAAACTAAGTCCTAGATATTATGAAAACGACCACGTCCACCATCCGAGAAGAACTGTCGAACCAGATAGTGTTGATGGACTGTAAACTGAAACGAAAGGAAAGAAAACAGAGTCTAACAGGTTGGTTAGCCAATGAAATGTACTTTGAACAAGCATGTAGGTACCCAATGCAATAACCGGATGCCGGCTGACGAATCATCCTAATTATGGAAAAAAACACCATCCGCTGATAGATCCATTGTACGTGGGGTTGCAACCTGTTTCCTAGTAACCGGTCTATGAGCTGCCAGCTGACCCATTAGCCATTTCCTGTAGTTGTAAAATGTCGAAGGTCATTTGCGGACCTAGGGCCGTGAGACGAAAATTGGCACCATGTCTCGACTCTTG